CGCAAAATAATCTTCATATTTTTCCTCTGAATATTTGTTTTTATAACAGAGTTAGTTGTCTACCCCCCCCCGCTGCATCTGGTAAGGGAACTAAAGTATGCCAAGTTAAGCCGCTTTATGCAGATTAACATTGGACACGGGCATTAAAGCATAATACTCTCGCTTATATTTCTTGTTTATAACAGTGCTTGGAAGGTAAGTATGTAGAGTGTGGTAGTTTCATAACACCACTGAGTTTCCATCAGTTACCATGGCTTTTGCAGCATTTTTTGGCCACGGTCAACATTCCCCAGTATTAACACCCGTCATATTCTCCAGATCTGACCCCTTGCGACTTTTTCCTCTTTCCAAAAATAAAATCCCACTTGAAATGAATTTTAAGACGTCGTGACAATCATAAGAGAATGCGACGAGGCTCGCTATTCTCTCATCCAGCCCACCAATAAGGAGTTCTAGGAATGCTTGCATCAATGGAAATGATGCTTGATAAAGTGTGTGGTTTCAGAAGAGGACTATTTTGAAGAGATTAAATGCCGAATTTATATGTGTTAGAGTTTTCATTTTATAGCACCAGTCCCGATACTAATAATAGATTTATCACAGTTACTTTCTCATGTATCGTACTTTATATACTGTACACCCGTCTTTTACAAGTGTTTACAATTGAAAAGCCCTCCACCGCCGCCAAGCGGTCACTTTGAGAACTAATACGATCGTTCTGCTAAGCCCGCAAATTTTGAAATACATCGCTGACGATTTGGAAGCATTTTCTTGCAGATTTTTTAAAATTTTGCCTGCAGATTTTGACCGTTGCATCCGAAGTCTGTAGATGGGGGAACTGGTCCGTAGATGAGAGGTTTGACTGTATAGCAATTTTCATTGCTAATATGCAACATTTTTTATAATTATGTTCAAGGCCCGGAAGCCACTCAAGGTAAATGGTTACAGAGTAAGAGGCACAGTTTATGCTGATAAGCGGACAGGATGCTATACTTGAACAGGCTAAGATTATCTGGGAAGCATCCTCTTGGGAGTCTGTTTCACAAAACAGCGGTGCCTGGGTAGAAGCTGCTCGAGTGAAAATTACATCTCCCTAACGGAATACGAATGGGAATGAGGGTGATTCATTACAAAGTACGTAGTATGGCGGTTCTTAGCCGCGTTGGTTAAAACTGGTGGAATTAAGGAATCTTGTTCGTCTTTGACTTTACATGGAAATAGCGATAGAGCTGTGAGAGAGGGGGTGTAGGGTTGAAAATAATTTGTCACCCACAAGGACGCGTAGACGCTTGTGCCATTCTGTAAAAGTTCAAATATTCAAGATGTATAGTCAATTATGTGCCATGCGTGATACACGCTTAGGTGATCGCGTGTCTTTCGATACATGACTGACGAGGCAGATTTTTCCTGCAGTAGGTTGCCATTTCTTTCTACAGTAGACCAGTTGCCATCCATGGCTATAGAACCCGGTCTGTACTGCTATTTACCCATAACTGGGGAGATAAGATGATTCATACCTTTCCCAAAGTTATTAGCTTGTAAGTGAATGTAATGGATTCGAGTGGAATTCGAACTCAGCTCTCCGATTCCTCAATCCGAGCCGCTATCCATTACTCCACCGTGACTCAAGATATTAATGAACATATTACAAGCACCAGTAATGATTTGACAAGCGAGGGAAACAGTTGTCGGTGATATAACGTTTGTTTGCATCTGAGGCCCGACTGTTGAAGCACTCGTTAATATCACAATGCAAGGAAGACGTTTCAATGAAAGAACATTGAAAAATGCCTTTCATGAGGTTACTCACTTCAAAGAATATCTCTCGTTCTCGCCCCAATACTTTTTTATGTCACTATTCATTCGTCATGGTCTTGATGAATGAATATCAACTCCTTGTCCCCCCCACCGCGCCGCAAAAAAAAAGTTTCTTTTGCTTAAAAACTTTCAAGGTTTTGCATTGTGACCGTCAAAGTAACACTTTATCTACCCATGTATACCCCGCCTCTACTCTCATCAAAAATATTATTTTTTTACCATTTCATTGTTTATAGCATTTGCTAAACATAGCCCTTTTCAAAAGGGAGGAGGGATAAAGGGAGAGCTTTGAAACGGGTACTATTCAAACGCGGGTCGTCAACACACAGTTACAGCAGTTGTCACCCCGCCACTTACGTTTCAAGACTCTTAGCGAATGCCTGGAACCAAGAATAGTTCCAAACTTTATACAGGGTGCGGCAGAAATACATCTAACCTTTTAAACTCTCACCTGTGTGGTGCTAGTAAACTTAGGCAAGTGGCAATGATGTCTTCATCTAGCTAATGTCTTACCATTTTTTTTTCAGATACCATCAGTCATCATTCTGACTTGGACCGCTGAAACCGTGCGTTTGCTGTTGAAACGTTTTTTTTTAAGACTGGTGAATCTGTAATTGCAACACCTGGAATTGCTCATTACATGTCACGTCGGTGTGGGTGGAAAGTTCAGCGCTTAAAAGAAAGCCACCTAGAAGGACTCGAAGCGCTCGAAACTCCGGAAAACTTTATAAATTCCTCTACAACAATGAATGGCGAATAAAGGTCACCATTTTTCAAACAACGGTGTAATATTTTTTTTTAATAATCGTTACCTTTGTCATTTTGTCAACCTTTAAAATGTAAGTAGTATTTCTGCCGCTTCCGGCATATTGTTTTTTCTATGCACTAAAATTTATAGTTAATGTTAATTTATAAAATTGATTAAGACCAATAACTAATAAGAAAACATTTTACATATTTATAAGTCTACCATTCTTTGAATATTGCTGCCATATATGGCCCGGTGCTCCTGCTGTATATCTTGATAAAAAAAGAATCGGCAATATTATTGGTCTTGAGCTGCCATCTCAGTTTCAGTCACCTTCTCACCGCCTTAATGTATCTTCCTGTGCCTTTTCTATAAATACTTTCATGGTAATTGTTCGGATGAACTCTTTGCTATGGGAGCTAGACTTTATGAATTTAAGCTTACTACTCGATTGGCGATAAAGTCTCGTCAATTCATAGTTGAATTGGTTAGAGGTAACGGTAAGTTCTATGCTGACAGTTTCTTTTCTCGTACTTCTCGCTTGTGGAACTCTCTTCTGACTTCATGCTCTCCAGTCAACTTTGATCTTCAAAAATTTAAATGCAATCTCAATTGCTATCTACTGTATTCCTGATTACACTTTTATTGTTCTCGATCCTTAATAATGTTTCTCTTTTTTTCTTATTCTTCCACACTCAGTAACCTTTTGTGTCTTAGTGGCTTTACTACCTTCATGGGGTGATAAGATTTAAAAAAAAATTATAATAATATACCATCATAAATGTTAGATAACGGATAGAAGATTTGTTCTGACCGTAGATTTTAGCAACCTTAGTATATGATTTACTTTCTGTCTCTATGAAGTCGAGAACTTTTAATCTTTCAATTAAATGAAACATTTTATAGTCCCCCATCCTTTGACATATCCGAGTAGCCAGCATATTTAATTTTATGCTCTGGGAAAATTATTAAGTAAAACTTAATTGTTTATTTGAGCGCGGATAATTGAAACTGCGGATGAAGAGTGTGGGATAATGACATCAGGTAATAAGGAGAACGCCATCAGTATATAGCTTGCTTTCTGGCAGTTATAAATTGCATCAACATAAACCTATTTTGCATAGGTAATTAGGATAATATGGAAATTCCTTTCAATTATCGGTCTTAATTTCATTTTCACTGATGGAGATTCTCTATTTGATATCTGTTATGGTCCGGTTCCTTGTACCACGGTGATAGTCCAAGGTAGAACCAATAAAGAAGAACTCGAATACGGATATGGAATAACACAGATATATTACAAACAGGAATATAAACAGAGAGGTAGAAAGTGTTAGTAAGAACAATCGGGTTTAGTAGTAATTGCCTGAACGCGACTCTGTTTCGGACTGCCTCTGACTCGACTGACTGACTCGCTCGCTCTGACTGACTGACAGACTCCTGACGGACTTCACTCCAGACTTCAGACTTCACTCCAGACTTCGGGCTGAACGGTATTTAGTTCCCCACCCCCATGAGGGCATCATCTATATAAAGAATACCCGCTCGGCCCGGTGGCTAGGATCAAAGTGTAGTATCTGCGCTTTGTGAGCTGCCGGGTCGGGTGTCTGTCGAACTCTCTGCTTGCAGAGAGGAACCCGGACGAAGCTCCGCCGAAGGGTGGGGTTTCGTTGGGGAGGTTGACGGAAATAGCCCGCTTGGACGGGTTTAGATGGGTTTTATTTTTGGCTGGGCCTACGGGCTCAGAGATACCCACATTAAAAAGGCCTTGTGCCACATTCAATTCCTGTGGGTGAATTGATAAATACCATCATGTGGCACAAGACCGGTTTAACGTGGGATCTCCGAGCCCGTGGGCTCGGCCCAAAATATGCCCTTTGAACCCGTATAAACGGGTTCAGGGTCAGTTTACCTCCCCGAAAGAGACTCCGCCCTTCGGCGTAGCCTCGTTCGTGTTCCTTCCCGCCCGAAAGCAGAGAGTTCAACCGATCAGCCGATCAGCCGGTCGCCCGACTTCGGACTGAACTCTCTGTTTCCTTTTGAGGCGCAGTATTTATTACGTATGGAATAGTCCGTTATGTTATTATGGGTAAGGTCCCATAACAATATCACCATATCTGCAAGGCCCAAGAGCCACTCAAGGTAGATTTCGATGGTAGTTTTTGTTTCGTAGCATGAGTTATTTAATACCGAAGTTTAAATACTTTGAACGCAATTTTATTTCATTTTTGCAGATAATAATTATTTAGTGATACAAGTATTTACTAATTAAATTAATTGCTGGTAGAGAAGAGATGGATTTATACAACTCAATAATACCTTTCCAAAGGGTATTTGCGTGTAAGTGAATATAACGAACCCAACTGGAATTGGAACTCAGCTCTCCGATTAACAATTCTGAGTCATTGTCCATTGCACCACCCGCAAATCCAAGCTTACAGCACCTGATATTCCCTAGTGGTCACCCATCTAAGTACTGGCCAGGTTCCACGTTACTTAATCTCGGTGATCTTACAGGAACCGTTGTTTTAACGTGATGTGGTCGTAAGCCACTCAAGGTAGAGAGTTACTGGGGTCGTTGTATGAAGAGCAGATTATGGGGGCATGTAAGAAAGACAATGGTTGACACTGGACTTGAAGATGTTAATATTGTAATGACCGGGGAAACATCCTATCGGGAGTCTGTTCCACAAAGTGAAAAGTATCAACATAATTTCCTTATTATGTTTTCATACTAACGTCTAAGTCGAACAACGACAATTTAAGATCAAATCTTTTTATTACAGTCAGGTTCACCCTGTACAAGGCTTGGGAGTCGTTCGGGGCGGCAGAGTAAGAGACGGTTTATGCACATAGGAGAGGGAAGATAATGCTTAACCCTAAACTTGAGCCGGTTACTCTTGGGAGTCAGTTCCATAGAGTAAATATAGTATAATTAGTCATACATAGCAACTTCTTTTACAATAATATTGTTATGGTCCAAGTTATGACCAAGGAAGAACAACACGAACACAAGTGTAGAAATAACGAAAGTATATTACATGAAATAATAATACAAGATGTGGAAGGTGTTAGTATGACTGTCAGTCTGGTTTGGAGTGAACTACTATCGGCTCGACTCGATTCGGTATCTAGCCACCCCCCACGAGAGTTGCATGTGGCACAAGGCCGAGTTTAACGTGGGTTTCCCGAGTCCGTAGGCTCGGTCAAAAAAATGCCCGTAGATGCCGTATAGCGGGATCGGGTTGGTCAACCTCCCCGAACGAGTTTCTGCCCTTCGGCGGAGCCTCGTCCGGGTTCCTCTCTGCTCAGAGGCAGAGAATTCGACCGTCAAGCCGAGAAGCTCGGCTCGATTCTGTATCTAGCCCCCCCCCACGAGGGTTGCATGAGGCACAAGGCCGAGTTTAACGTGGGTTTCCCGAGCCCGTAGGCTCGGCCAAAAAATGCCCGTAGAACCCGTATAAACGGGATCGGGTTGGTCAACCTCCCCGAACGAGACTCTGCCCTTCGGCGGAGCCTCGTCCAGGTTCCTCTCTGCTCAGAGGCAGAGAGTTCGACCGTCAAACCGAGAAGCTCGGCTTGATTCGACCCTCTCTCTTGAGAGGCGTAGTATACATAGTGTTAGGAAGAGTTCATTCTGTAGTTATAGGTAAGGACCCATAACAAATATTCTGCACAAGACCCGGGAGCCATTCGAGGTAGAACGTTACAGAGTAAGAGACACAGTTTATGCAGATATATCGGAAAGATAACGGTTAACCCTTGACTTGAACAGGTTAACATTGTAGTGATCGGGGAAGCATCCTCTTGGGAGTCGTTTCCACAAAGTAGCGGTTCGTGGGAAGAAGAAGCTAGAGTAGAAATTATATCTCACCAATGAAATACGAAGGGAATGAGGGTGGTTCGCTCCAATGTGAGGGGCATGGCGGATTTTAGCTGCGAAGGTGAGAACTGATGGGATAAGGAATGCCATTTGTTCGAGCATTTTCCATGGAAATAGCGATAGGGCAATGCGGGACTTGCTACATCTCGTCTAATAATTATGCGCTAAACTGCAGGATTATTGATAACCATGTAGATATAAAAGACTGCTAATTGATTTTAGATCAATCAGCAGCTTTCATTAATCTAATGTAGTATGGGCATTTACTGCAACTGTTTTTGAGCAGTACTCTTTTTGAGATCGCTGTAGAAATGTCTGAGGATTACTTGTAAGTAGACAGTAAAAATTAGAATTGGAGTAATTTTTTCCATTCTCAAATTCCTCACAATTTGGGGATTTGAGTTTATATTGTTAAGCAATAATGTCGGATTAAAAATTACACGTGTTAACATCTAGGGACAGTATGTTGAAATTTTTTTTTTGCTGGGTGGGGTCGACCGACTTCTCAAATGTTGACGAAATCATCAAACATAAGAATGTTTTTGGAAGGCCTTTTTCATCGGGTCAAGAGCTTTTCAGCACCTCGTCATATGTATATGCAAGCAACTGCATTTTTTCACATATTCCTCTGTATAAAATATGTGCGTATGTATAAGTAAATTGATATGTTTATGTGTGCGACAAACTTGCCACCTATTCTAACAAAGTATGCACCCTGCATATATACGTACGATGTCTTCTGGAAAGTATCCAATCATGTAATTTTAACGGAAAAAATATACGCCGTTCCAATTCTCTTCAAAGTTTTTTTCGGGATTACCATCAGCTGCAGTGTACCTTTTCTTTAATCTCGTTCACGGGCTGAAATTATATTTTTCTTTCAATAGCAATTTAGATTTAGGAAAAGCCTGGATAGAGCAACGTTTGATCTTAAGAGGCATGGAGTTCGCAAACCTGGGGATTGCGATATTTTGAGAAAAAAAAATACAAAAGAAAAGAAAATATGTACGAGACGTAAAAAAAATGAGTAGCCCCATTGTTTTGATGGTGGTCACGCACAATAGGATCTCATATTATGTCGTCTCACTGCCAACTAAGTAAACCCATAGAAAATTGTCCGTTCACGCATGTAGCTCAACGCCTGCACTGATTGGGTGTCAGATTACATCAATGCCGAGCAAAATGTTTTCGAGATGATCCAAAGGGCGAGATAGAATCCGGACAGTCCTGGTAAGTATTTGAGGTTTGATATTTTCTAAGTCATTGATTAGTTTGGCACGAGGCCACTTTTCGCGAGTCACCCAATCTGGAAATAATACACTGTGTATTGAGCAGGTCTGGCAGATGAGTTACTGCAAAAATTTTCTTTCCCTTAGAAAGGGGGCAATAATGCACAGCTTCCTATCTATAGCTCTAAGCAATGTTTGCCGCTTTACAATCTTTCCCGGTTCTTATTCTGCTATCCATTTATAGAAACTCGTTAGCTAGTTTATTCGCTGTTCCTCTCTTTTCCTCTTGCTATCAATATATCCTGTGAGTGTTAATTTCACCAAGCTCCTCTTCTCTTTTACGTGTCTCGGGTATTTAATTGTTTCTTTTTTATTGTAAGTGTCTGTGTTTCGCTTTCGTTCCCAAGTTCCTTAAAATTCTTTGCTCTAGACGCACTGACTTTTACTGCCCTAAGCTTAAAACATCAAAATCAAAATAAAAAAAAAACAAAAAAAAAACTGAAGAGTGAGGCACTATTTGAGAATCAAACCTGATATAGAAATAATGGTCTGAAAGACTAGCCTTATAACATAGTAACACTCTGCATTGCGCATCGAAAGCCTCTTTTTTTCACTAAATTCTCACAAAATTTAAGGCCCAAGTGTCACTCAAGGTAGAGGGTTACTAAATTAAATGTTTTGAATGGGCGCAGGGTGGGAAGTGGGAAATAAGTGCAGACTATGAGGATGCATACAATGACCCTAGACTTGAAGCAGTTAAGATTGTAATGTTCTGGGAAGCATCATCACGGTAGATTGTTCCATAAACTTTAGTTCTTGGGAGGAAGCTGTTGGAATAGAACTTCCTCCTTACCAATGGAATACGAAGGGAATTAATATATTTCGACTCTTCGTAGATGATATGGTGTATCTTTTAAAAAGTCATTTGACGCCAAGCAAGGCAACAAAGCCACTAAGGCAGAAGGGGCTACTGAATGTGATAAAATATGAAAAAAAAAGACACTAACGAGGAAATGAGAAATAAAAGAAGAGGAATCAAGAAGACAGAACATAACGATTGGCATTCCATTTTTGAAGATCGAAGTTGACTGGAAATCAAGAAGCTGGAAGAGGTTACCACAAAGGAGAAGTGCGTGAGAAGAAACTGTTAGCATAGAACTTACGGTTAAATCTAACCATTTCAAATCTAAAGTGATGAGAATTTTCGGCTAATGTAGTAATTCGCTTAAATTAATATTCTAGGTACCCGAGAGGAAATTTAATTAGAACAGTTACCATATTTATAGAAAAATCATAGGAAAGCTACATTATTGCGGTGCCAATTCAGGGGTAATAAAATTGCAGTTTCGTTTTTGTATTTTATTCAAAAATCTCTAAATACATCGCTGAAGCCCCAAATCAGATGTGGCAGCTATACCCAAAGCATGGACGGATGGTAGACTTATAAATATGTAAGATATATTCTGACGAGAAAAATTGTCTAGCAAGACACGATGAACCAATTTAGCCATAAAAGTCGGAACTGCTGGAAATAATGATAGAGTAGCGATAGGCTTGCGATGATGCATCTGTGGGAAAGTGATTGTAGGGTGGGAAATAATTCATCACCTACAAGTCCGCGTACAAGCTTTTGAATACTGTCATGGCTAGAAAGTGAGGGCTGGTTATCTCCAGCCCAGATATGGCAGCAGTAGAGATTACGACCCTTGCCCCCAGTTACTCATCTGAATAGGAATGTTTACAAGTATCTTTGTTACGGGACCAAATTATTGACAAAACTTATTGTTGTGTATTGTCGTATAAGAAAACGACACTAAATCTCCCATACGTAGAAATATTGATTATTTAAGCCAGGATTTCGTCGGTTAATATCGGCGAATATGTGTCTGACTTTAGAGAATCGGAAAACTCCATCCGTAATAAGGTAGCAATACTCAATTTTAGATCAGATCCAACTCTTGTAAAGTTAGAACAAGGCAGGTGGAATTATGGAACGGTAAAATGAGTCGATCATTTTTCTAGCGTTTTTAGCAGTGAATCGCATAGCTTAGATGTGGCACAAGGCCGAAATTGGGGGAGGGGGTTATCCAGTGAGAATCGAACTCACCACCCAGTCGTAGTTGTTGTAGCGAGACAAGCTTGTGAGCTATTACATCACCTCGCGGTGCCCTAGCGGTGGGTCGTATATACGAGTTCCACTTGAGGTCTGAGGTAAACTTGAGTCTCAGAGAAAGGGGCCTCTTTGAGACGGCCACTTTTCATCGAGACTGATGAGAATTTAGGTACAGTTCGGTGATGCCGAAAAGTTGCTAGTTTTGTTTCTGAGTTCACACAAGAAACTTCTAGATCCCACAGGGAACTCCTGGATCAATCAAGTCACCAACAATAACGAACTATTTCTAATGAAAAAAAAAAAATAAAAAAATAAACACCACT